CCTAAGTCGGGGCAATGGGGGGGTAAGGGGTAAAGCCTGCCGGTAAAGTCGGGGTAAGTCGAGGTGCCATTGATTATAAATAATTTTGTGGTGTTGAGCGTCCAAAAATTGAAATATGTTAAAATTGCATTTATTGTTCTATTATTATGGAACTAGTTTTAAAATACGTGCCTTTATATTGAGAACAATTTGATACCAAAATGAAAGACGTGACACGAAAATTTATGTCAGAACACTGGAAAGATAATAAATACTTTTGTGGTCCAAATTTGAAAATTTGCTAAAATTCCATTAATTGTTCTATTACTATGGGACTAGTTTTAAAATATGTGCCTTTATAATGCGAACAATTTGATACCAAAATGAAAGACGTAACACGAAAATTGGTGTTAGAACACTGGAAATATATAAATAATTTTGTGGTGATGAGTGTCCAAAAGTTAAAATATTTGTTCATATTCCATTTATTGTTCTATTATTTTGGGATTAGCTTTAAAATATGTGCCTTTATTTTGTGAACAATTTGATACCAAAGTGAAACACGTAAAACAAAAATTTATGTTATCAAAATGAATGAGTATATATACATTAGTCTGCAGGTGTGCCAATTGGTGCTCGTTCACGGGTAACTTGGCCGACTTTAGGCTTTGCTGTGGAGAGGCACGCCAGGATTTTAGACCTTATATGCATATACCCCTGTAGAGAATTTTATTGCGAACACAATGATAGCAAAACAAACGACGTAGCACGAGTAATATGGTGAGAAAACAACTGAAACGAGTATACACAGTTTATTGATTTTGGGCGCTCACGGGTAACTTTGCTGACTTTAGGCTTTGCTGTGGGGAGTCACGGCAGGCTTTTGGACCTTACATGCATATATCCCTGTAGAGATATATGCATATGTATAGTCGATATATATATGCATATATTGTCGATTAAGGCAGTGTCTTTGATGCTCTCGGACACAGGTTCGAATCCTCGTCACGGCCCTTGTATTCACCTAGTTCACCTAGTTGTATTCACCTAGTTGTGTTTGCGGGATTTGAGCTTTGCTCTTTCGGCCCGCCTCTCAACTGTCAATCAACTGTTTTTACTAACTACTTTTCTTTTCCACACCACACACACACCCCAGGAAGCAGCCTGTGACAGCTGACTAACTCCCAGGTACCTATTTACTGCTAGGTAACAGGGGCATTCAGGGTGAAAGAAACTTTGCCCATTTGTTTCTGCCTCGTGCGGGAATCGAACCCGCGCCACAGAATTACGAGTCCTGCGCGCTATCCACCAGGCTACGAGGCCCCTGTAGGGATTGTGGATTTGTTCCTCTGTAGGGAATTCTATTGCAAACACAATGATACCAAAACGAACGATGTAGCACGAGAATTAAGGTGAGAAAACTGAAACGAGTATACACATTTCGGTGTCGCCGCATGCTCGCCTGCACCATCGGGAGCATAATGTCAGAGTCTGCGACTCGTCCGCACAGCGTGCGATAGTGTTAATTTAATTAATTAATTTAACACTATCACTCTCCCCTGACTCATAATGAGTCCATAATTTTTCCTCCCTGTGCCGAGTGGTGGACTCGTGCTTGTGTCCATCCTTTTAAAGAACACTATTTGTTAAAAATTTAAATTTTATTCGATCAATCTGGGAGTGGTTTCAAAATGAGCTCCTTTAGACTGCGCACAATTTGATACAATAATGTAGCCTGACAATTGAGGTCTGAACACTTAAAAGATTATAAATACTTTTGTAGTCCAAATTTTAAAATATAGTACTGGTATTTGTTAAAATTCCATTTATTGTGCTATTGTTATGGGACTAGTTTTAAAATGCGCACCTTTAGATTGCAAACAATTTGATACCAAAATGAAAGAGGTAACATGAAAATTGATATCAGAAAACTGGAAAGATATAAAAAATTTTGTGGTGATGAGCATCCAAATGCTTGCTAGCATTTCTTTATTACTGCATTATCCCTCAGTTCCAGTTAATAGAAGCTGTTCTCCTTATCAACACTTTTTTATTTTTTAAAAATTCATCTAAAATGAATTTCTGAAAATGTTTTGATGAAAGTTTCACGACACTGAAGCCAATAAGTTGGAGATTTGCTTAACTTTTAAGTTATTTTTACATATTTTGAATATTTTTTGCTTCCGGGCCCCCCAATATGCGCGGTTTCAGGGTTAATGAAGCTTTTAATGAAAATTTAAAAACGGAATCAAACAACACTATAGAACGAAAAAGCAACGTAAAGGATCTAGGAGTAATCATGTCGATCTTACCTTTATAGAACACCATAAAGTAGCTGTCACGACTGCAAGAAAAATGACTAAGGACTTTAAGGACCACCAAACAAGGACAGTGACACTTTTCAAGACACTAGTGCTTTCTATGGTGGAATATTGTTGCACTCTAACAGCCCCATTCAGAGCCAGAGAAATTGCTGACCTAGCAAGTGTACAAAGATCCTCTCGGTTAGATTTCACTCTACAAGTCATCTTAATTACTGGAACCAAATAAAAGTTCTAAATCTGTATTCTTTACAACGCAGGCGAGAGAGAGAGAGAGAGAGAGAGACAGAGACATAATAATCTATACATGGAAGATATTACTGGTTTCAAATCTCAACACAGAAATAACATCACATGAGACTAGTAGTCAGAGCAGGATGTGCAAAATACCCCCATTGAAAAGCAGAGGTGCAATAGGTATGCTGAGGGAGAACTATCAACCTCAGGAGCCCAAGACTTTTCAACATTCTTCCACCACATGTAAGGAGCATAACTGGCCCGCCTCTCACAGTGTTCAAGAGAGAACTCGACAAACACCTCCAAAGAATACATGATCAACCAGGCTGTGATTCATACCTCTGGCTGCAAGCAGCCATATCCAACAGTCAACCACATCTGGTTGACCAGACGACCAACCGGGAGGCCTGGTCAGAGACTGGGCCGCAGGACTGTTGATCCCCGGAAGGTACACAAGGTAGACAGACACAAGGCAGGTAGAATGTAAAGATGTTCATTGGTACAAGGATTATTAACCACAACCAGCATTTCACAACCTTTCCACATTGGCAACCTTGAGCGTTACCTTGAGATGCTTTCGGGGCTTAGCGACCCTGCGGCCCAGTCGTCTATCAGGCCTCCTAGTTGCCGGATTGGTCAACCATGCTGTTGGAAACCACTGCTTGCAGCCTGACATATGAATCACAGTCTGGTTGATCAGGTATTCTTTAGAGGTATTTGTCGAGTTCTCTCTCGAACACTGTGAGGAGCAGGCCAGTTATGTCCCTTATGTGTAGTGAAAACATGTTGAACAGTCACGGGCCTCTGATGTTGATAGTTCTCTATTGCACCTCTGCTTTTCAACGGGGGTATTCTGCACATCCGGCCATGCCTTCTGGTCTCATATGATGTTATTTCCGTGTGCAGGTTTGGGACCAGCCCTCTACTATTTTCCATGTGTAAATTATTAAGTACTAAGTATCTCTCCCGCCTGCGCTCAAGAGAATACAGATTTAGGCATTTTAGTCGGTCCCAATAGTTTAGATGTTTTACTGGATGGATTCTAGCAATAAAAGATCTCTGCACGGTCTCCAGGTCAGCAATTTTTTCACACGATAAGTGTGATTATGGAATGATAGCCCATAAATGAGATCACTAGAAATAACAATAAATTGGGGTGTTTGATTTTAAATTTTCTGTCTAAAACGGAATGCAAAGAGTAACAGTCAATCATGGTCTTTACAAAATCGATGTATATAACATCTGCATTTTGTTTTTCTACTAATGTTTTTGTGATTTTGTCATAGTGGTTGAGGGTATGTGGAATTTATCAATATTAGACATCACACTTTTTTTTAACATGTGGAATATCAATCACCATATTTTACCTGTTATTATTTTGGACCTCACTTTATGTGCTATAACCCCATGTCACATTTATCAAATGCTTTTTCAAAGTTTGTGTGTACAACTTCTGCATTTTATTTCTCTTTTAATGCCTCATTCAAATGTCACTGTAGTTGATTAATTGCAAGGCGCTAAATCCATGTTGGCCTGGTTTATGAAATTCATTATTCTTCATAAAACTGGAATTTGAGTTTTAACCACTCTGGAAGAAGAGAAGAACCAACTCATAGAAGACTGCAAGACATCCTGCCAGAAACCAGACCTGGGCAAAAGTCCAAAAAAAGCTGCAAGATTTGAGCTATAGGCCATCGCATGCACCTGGGCAACCCGCACCCCAAAACCCCTATCCAAGTCTAAAAAACAGCATTATCTGGTCTGATGAGATGGAACAGGGGGCCTCTAGCACAATCACAACACTTGGTCGAGAGACTTAAAAATATGGTACTGCTAACACCAAAACTTGACAAATATCCTCCTTTTAATAAAAGGAAGTGAAGAAATGGGTTGACAACTATTAGGAAAAGCAAGTGGACCCCCCTGAAGAAAGTCAAAGATGACCAGCTAGTAGGCATGGAGATCTGGATAAACATCTGTCACCACCTCCAGAGTGAATTACTAGAGAACAGTATCTGTGTTACAGTACAATAATCCACTTAAGAGCTTCAAAGGGAGCATTGATATCAACCCAGAACCTCTCCAAAATATCTCCTAAGCTGAATATGAACAAAAAATATCTACCAAAAGAGTGCAGGCCTTGTGATCCACTGCCATCAATGCCAAGGGCCAACATGGGTACCTAGACGTGGAAATGTCAAGCCCTGGGATTACAGAAAAGAGCAGGAGCAAACAGTGTGAATTCACTCAGAAGAACCATATGCGGCGAAGCCGATTGGGTGCACGAGATATTTCCTTGTCGGGCCCCAACCAATTAGGTGTTTTACTGTTTTGAGAGGGCCTATAACCACTGTAATGCATATACAGGTTTGCTACTTACCTTACCAGGAGAGTAGTGTAGTGGAATATATTCATAATAACCCTCAAGCACAATTAGGTAAGTACAAACCCATCCTAACCAACCTTCATCCAACACTGAAAAAAACAAAAAAAAAATCACTGAAAATTAATTTATTATGCATTCTTTGTTTTGCCTGTCAAATATGATCAAGCAATCATTGTCAAATAATTCGGAGTCAATATTTTATATGTGTCAATTATTTGCTATGCACACTGAACAAAATAAACAAGATCTGCACATCAAAGTGTGGCAGTATTGAGGTGGCTATGCCTACACCACCTCTTGTTAATGAGCATTTTCTGTTCAATGGAAATATATTTCCACTTTCTCTTACCACCCTCAGCATAATGAGTGCTGTATGACATCTTGTAAATAAAATAAAAAAAGGCAAATGCAGAGCACAAGATAATGTGATATTTAACAATAACACTGACCACCGACAACTGGATTTTGACTCTTACGCTGATTTGACTGCTGATTTAAGTGCTTCTGGTATCTCCCCTGTATCCAATCTCTTTCTTCAAATTACACTGAGCATTCGTACTACTGACACTTTGCATTTCTTTATAAATATGGAATTCTATGTGTGTATGTGTCCCGGTGCTGAGTGCATGGGCACGTTGTAGATTTCTATTTCAAAGTCTGCTATGTTCGTGTTAATATCAGTTATATTGTCAGGGTATTTGGATATCATTCTTAAAGCTATCCTCAACTTTCAAGTTGCTTATTGTTGTACTTCACATAGCTCATGCTGTTCTTTTAGGCTTTCACAAATTTCTTTGCCATCCTGTGTATGAATCATCACTTATAAGTACTGCACTGGACCAATACCAGTAGAGGTTTTTTATTTTAATTTCACATGTGAAAAAATATTTTGGATTTTCCTTTATCTCTTGTATAGGTTTCTGTTCCAATTGCACTTCTTCAGCCTGATATGAATGCTTCAGCTGCTGCTCTATTTCTTCAATCTCCCTGTTTGAGATTCAATTTCTTTTTTGGGATAGCACTGGGTTTATTATGCTATGTAAGCAATTCTTTATTTATTCATCTGCTTGGTGAATTTCTCAACCTTTGCATCTAGCAGTTTGTATATTAGAATAATAATAGTAATTATTTCCTGTACTGTATTTAGATATCAAATACCTCTACCACTTCATTTGTAAAGTTTAGGAGCTCTATGCATACAAGGTACTCTTTAATATATAACCTGACTCCTCTATGTGATCTATTTACTCTTATCACATCTACATAAATTATATTTTTGTATACAGATCTCGCTGTTCATGTAATCACCCGTATGGATCTCTGTGAATTCTCCAAATACTCAATTTACTACAGTGAGGATGCCATTTATGAAGGGCAAGTTTGATTCCTAGTTTTCTTTTCCTGTTCTTGTACTTTTTCTATTATTTCAGTTTCAGCAGCTTCTGACTGCATTAAAATTTTCTTTTTTTTCCCCATTCTGGTTGAATGGGTAGGTTTTCACGAAAGTCATTTTACAGCCATGACGCATGTTTTCCATGAGATCTGTTAATATGTTCCAATTATGCAAATCTTTTTTGCATATTCAAAGACTGTGACCTTCTCACAGTCCTTTATTATTATTCACTTCTGCACAAGAAAAGTGAAATTAGTTTTTACATATGTAACATATAATTCTCTATGTCTGTTCCTTGAAATTTTCTACATTTCCCACATGTTCCCCTGCAGTGGATAAATAATATTTATTTGATTCACTGAACAAGAATTGTTTGGGCCATGCAAAAATTTCATAAACGAGGTCCTGCTGCATTAACAGCCTCAAAGAAGGAGCCCACAAGAAAGATCTGAAAGACTGATGCAGCCTTCTACTCAATCTGACAAATAGCTGCCACTTGTCCAAAACAGTAAGCCAGGACGAAGCCAGGACATTATACCACAGGCAGGACAAAGATGGGTCCTTACACCACAGACAGGACAATGCTGGGAACCTTATACTGCAGCCAGGAAGAAGCCAGGATCTTGTATTGCAATCAGGAAATGGAAGGGAAACAATATGAACAGGGCAAATCCAAGCCAGCCACAAACTCGGACTCAGAAATGTACTTACAGATAAGTGGAAGAGGAATCAAGCTCATGCTGGACTGGAGGGAACAAGAACATCTCTGTACAGAGTAACAAACCCTAAGGGGCTATGAACTAAATTATTATAGAGGGGTTAAAATGCAACCCCCAAATTCATGAGACCCTACACAACTCTTAAAGAAAACGGGTCAGGGACAAAGCCTACATCAACACCCCACCCTCTCACCTAGAATCCTAAGACTGGAAAGAATGATAAGGCTGAGTCTCAACAAGTTATGTCCCCAATCCCTACAAGATGAACCTCTAAGTAAATTCCACAGGATAAAGGGGACTCTTAGGATAGATTGCAGAGCCTCAAAGGCCTCAGAAGCAACAGCCACTGAAGACGCATCTGCCAGTCTCTATCCCATCACCTCCTGCGGGTCCTTAAGCTGAGGCCATTTGGGAGCCCAAATTAACGGGTAAAGCTGGGAGGGTAAGTAAACAACAGCTAAATATATCAAGCACAACAGTAACAGAAGAACTAAACACAATTATGAAACAAAGGGAACAAAACAAAGTAATGACCCATCACAGTACTACATAACAGGTTTGCCAATACTACTTAGCTGTAATCAGAGCAGCTCAGAGGGTTCCACAAAGTGTGCGCACACACTACTTGCACCAGGCACATGAGTGAGGGTTGTGGCTAAACCTGAACTCTGGGTGACCTGGGCTGCCGTCTTAGAGGTGGTTGAGCACATCAAGGCTCGATGTTCAATTTTTCGTGTTGTTGCTGGTGAACAACAACAACAGTTGTTGTTCACTAGTAACAACACTTTCGTGTCTATATCTTCAGACAGCAATTTAATTTGTTTCGCTTATCTTACTGGTGGGTTTTTCCTTGGCTTTAAATTTTTCCAATGATCTCCCTGCTCATATTGCCTCAGAGCTCTAAATTCTGGTTCTGGTTTCCACAGAAAGTGGTTCTCAAGAGGCCTACTACACTTCTCATAGCATGGTTTCACTAGAGCACAAGCTATGGTGAGCTACCAAGGGGGGTTTCCCAAAAAAACAGCACTGAATGTAATGAAATGCCATTTTCTGGGTGAGCCCGGGAGGCTCCCTCAAGCTATCCGAACTGATATGTGCTATATTAGTCTGAGGTCATCAGTCACAGGTGTTCTTATGCCTACCGGGAACCACGAGTTAGAACCTGGTCCCCTCAGAGAAGCACAGGGGACCAATGGGGAGCACAGGGAGCAATGGCTTATGAGCACTTTACATTTAAAGTACGTCATAATTGTCATTGATCGGGGAAGTACCCAAAAATGTAAGCGAATCAAAACAGAGCACTGTCTGGGTTAACCTATGTAATCTACATCCCAAAAGATCAAAGTAACCACTACTCCAGTTCTTGAATGATAAAAAAAAAAAAATCACACAGCACCGCTCCTGTGCCAGGTAAGTCCGCTACGGGCTCACCATAGCCCGTGCTACTTGCCCCACTCCTGTGCCAGGTAAGTTACGGGCTCACCATAGCCCATGCTACTTGGAACTTGTTCCGAGTAGCTGAATCTATAACAACAACATGATAAAAAAGTCACAGTTTCTGTGGCCGGCAGGTAGCAGCATAAAGCTGCCACCGAACACATGATGCACCCCAGCCTAACCAAAAAGCATCCACAACCAACTGACCCCTCCGGAAGCCCGCCATCTCAATCTATGCCAGAATAGAAGAAGGCCATAAACGAACAAAACGACCACATGGACCAAACTAACAGAACACCTGGCATTGGAGGAGAACATGAAGTTCCCCAACCTGACTCCCAGAGGCCAAGGCCAACAAAAACAAGGCCTTCCAAAAGAATTCCCTAATCGAAGGGGCCACAAAAAAGCGGGTAGAAAGAAAAGTAAGAACACTATTTAAAGACCAAGAAGGCTCAGGCGGCATATGAGAAGGCCAGAGGTGGAAAAATGCACGTGAAAGCTTGCGGAACGGAGCGGATTCCACATCCACCCCAAACGCAAGCTGGAGTGGCTCCGCCAACATTGTGCGATAAGAAGCGACAGTATTAGGGACGAATACTGATCCAGAAAAAGCTGAAAGAGCAGAGACAAAACAACCCGATTCAAAATAGACGAAAACCTTCGAAGAGAAATAAAGTGACGGAAAGACCGCCAAGAAACAACATACTTTTCATTCACCTGGGCTCTAGGAGACTTAAACCATGGACCCCCACGTGTGTGAGGCAGAGATTCTTTCCACTCAGCTATGTCAAGTCTCATAGAACCCAGATGAATCATATGTTTATTTCCACGGAAATGTGGATGACAAATTAAACTACAGTACTGTACATACTGTTGCCGGGAGGAAGACTGCAGGTGGGACACCATCAAAGAAACCACCTGATCACCATATAAATGACAATACACACGAGTTAAAAAACCAGTGTTAAAAGTAATGAAATGCCATTTTCTGGGCGAGCCCCAGAAACTCCCTGAAGCTATCGAGACTAATATGTGCCATATTAGTTTGGGGACATCAGTTACGTGAGTTCTTGCCTACGGGAACCCCGAGCAAGAACCTGGCCCCCCTTAGAGAGGCGCAAGGAGCAATAGCTATATGAGCACTCTACATTTAGAGTATGCCATGTCTGCCATCAACCTGGGTATACCCACTGCAAGGTAGGCATAATAATACAAACCTCCAACTGGTGAAAATTGCAATCTTGAGGTTATCTTGAGATGATTTTGGGGCTTTAGAGTCCCCGTGGCCCAGTCCTCGACCAGGCCTCCACCTCCAGGAAGCAGCCCGTGACAGCTGACTAACACCCAGATACCTATTTTACTGCTAGGTAACAGGGGCATAGGGTGAAAGAAACTCTGCCCATTGTTTCTCGCCGCCCGGGATCGAACCCGGGACCACAGGATCACAAGTCCAGTGTGCTGTCCGCTCGGCCGACCGGCTCCCGAATCTACATCCGAACAGAGCCAAAGAATTCTCCCAAAAGAAATCAAATAAACAAGC